ATCTTGAAATAAACCAGGCGTCATCACCATATACGCCCTTGTCGAGTACTGTAGATGGACCATTGAGCATATCCTTTGGGAATCCTGCGCAACTGGCAATCACATTCTCTACGTGTGCACTGCTGGCTGGTGAGGATGATCCTTCATTTGATGGCTTTGCTGGCTTTGAAGAACTACTCGAGAGACCTCGTCTACCAGTACTGATTGCTTCTGGACCTACAGCTGCGCCTATAAAACTGTCCAATTGGGTCTTCAGTTCAAGATATAAAAATCAATTTACCAAGATCAAGAGCACTTGCTGAGAAAACTGCTCTGACTGCTAACCGTCCGTATGCGAGTAACCTCACACCGGCGACCATTTTTCGATTGTTTACCGGAATTTTCAAAAAAGTATTAGATTTGCGTATCTAGAGTCGTCTGAGAATCGGAATATTTTTTAAAGATACATGGAAGAGAGGAGGAGGCGTCCAAAGTCTGGGTGACAAGAATTGAGTGTCTGCTGGTGACTCCTAAAATTAATTGTAAATTTTTTTCAGCTATTTTTGGTCTTAATTACGGCTTCTGCTTGTTCGAGATTTGTTCAAATTTGGAAATTTTATCAAAATGTACTTTCAGTTCCCAACAGTTATGTTTCAATGTACCTGCAAAAACCACAAAAACCTGAATATCGTTATTTTGAATCTTGAGAAGAAAATAGTTTGATGAAAAATTTAGCCTGACCTTTTTTCTAAGCTTTTTCGCTAAAGATAAAACCCAGATCTTTTTTTCATTGGAATCAGTTTCTCAGAGACGCAATCTGTGCTTTTTTGTGCTAATCTGTGCTTTTTAAAAATATTTATTCCGCTCAAGACCCGGATAGTTTCTGGCTATCAACCCTAGGTATACTGTAGTTACTACTGTAGATTTTATTGCTTTTCGGAATAACTTGTTTCTTGTCGATTTTTCTCGAAGTTTTGTTTCACCCCTTATATTTATCAGACTTTACCAAAGTTTTCAAATATTGCAGGTAAATATGTTGTCCAGAACACTCCGACCGATCTCAAAAGTTCTCAGAAGCAGTGCGAAGTATTCTCAAGCTGCAGGTAACTCAGAATATGAAAATTCGGGATTAAAAAATAACGTTTTTCAGGCCTTCCATTGAACGAAGGAAGCCCAGCTGCATTGCCTTCAGAAGATAGAGCAATCTCACCAAAAGTGAGCGCTTTGGTCGAAGAAATCGCAAATCTCAGCTTGCTTGATGTGTCCGATCTCAATTGGGCCCTCAAGAAACGACTCAACATTCCAGATCAACCGTTTATGGCTGCCGCCGCTTTTGCACCAGCGGCCGCTGCTGCTCCAGCTGCTCAAGGTAAAATTTCATTTTTGCGTATTGACAATCACATCAGTTCTTTCCAGCTGAAGCCGAAGCAGCATCTGATGTTCCTCAAAAAATGACATTCACCGTAAAGCTAACGAAATTCGATGACACGAAAAAGATCGCTATCATCAAGGAGATCCGTAATGCCATCCCAGGACTCAATCTCGTTCAAGCCAAGAAGTTCGTGGAAACCGCTCCAGTCAATGTAAAAGAAGATCTCGGAAAAGCCGAAGCTGAAGAGTTGAAAGGAATCCTGGAGAAAGCTGGAGCCGTTATCGAAATTGTTTAAGCATTTTTTAAAATCATTTTTCTGTTTCTGTTTTCATTTTCGTAGTTAGGGTAGCTCCTTTTTGTTAAGTTATCAATTAAACTTTTTGTTTGAGCTCAACAATTTTATTGAAAAGAAAAACAACTTCATAAGTTAAATATTATACAAATCCCATTACAGTTTTAGACATCGTTTACAATTAACATAAATAACCCGGAGAAGAAGTGACACGTCACGAATTGAAATACTGTAGAAGTTCAACCATAATTGTTCAAATTCGGTCATGTGGTGGTTGTTTCATTCGATTCGGAAGTTTCGAGACCTGGCAATTAAAAAATTAGAGGACCGAATGGAAATTGGGCAGTTCAAACCTCCTCTTCCGAAGACCTTCAACGTCATTCCATACTCAAGAACTCGCATATCCTTCTCGGAAAGTTGACCAAACGAAACTGCATGATCCGAACACTTTCCTCCTTTCATTGAACTAGTGCGGAAAAGTTTCGAATCTGGAGCAATTATTTGTTTGGGTGGAAGATCATTGAACAATCGAAGAGCATCTTCATCAAATGGGTCAGCGATTTGAACATTGTGACTATCACTACAGTCATAAAGAGCGTAATCGGAAGCCCGTGCAAAGAAAAATCCTCTGAAAACTTGAAATTCGGATTCATAGCATTTGAAATGAGAACGGACTTGCAAGCCGAAAGTTTGTCAATTGCTGAATTCGAAAACACGATACCACCACGAACAGAAATCTTCTTGAAACTACTAAGCGGGAAGAGCCACGAGAAGAAAGTACTAGTATCTCGAACTTTCCCCAGCACCACTGGTTTTTCAGAATCAAAATTATGAAGTACATTTCGAAGGTTCGGAACTATTAAATAAGTTTGGTCATCTCCAATAAAAGTCCACTGGGAAGGTACTTTGGATGAGAATTCCATAACGTATTGGTAGAAGGACCAATAGAAATGATTGAGACTTGAATCCACATAATACATTGTATGGTTTTCTGAAAAAAGAAAACTATTCAGTTCTGGAACAAAAATTATCGGAGCTGTGCAAGAGAAACGCCGGTGGTTGTTGCCGAAGGTCTCACAACGAAAACTACAGTAATCTAAAAATGTTTTTATTTTCTCAATTTTCGTTCATTTCAGTCAATTTTTTCACTATCAAAGATTTGTTTTTCTTTTTTTTTCATACATGAGGGATTTTTGTAAATTTGGGGTTTTTTGAGGTAGTGAAACTTTATCGAATTTTTAAATTTTGATACGTAATATTTAGGTCGCAATTTTGAAAACAGCTCAAAATTTACAAATCACTTCATGCTTGGTTTTTTTGGGGAAATAACAGAAAACTCTACGAAAAGCAGTGAAAATCGAGATAATAAATACAGAAAA